AAAATCTTGTTTAGTATTTGAACCAACCCATATATATATATATATATATATATATATATATATATTGATTAACTTGGATATCCAACCTGTTATGCGAGCCGACTAATCCCAGAGCGACCACTTGCTTTGCAGATAGCCCAGAGTCACTGCATTTGAACTGTGGCCACAAAAAGATTTTTATTCCTCCTTGGATTTGAATCTGGGACCTCCTGGTACTTTTAACCTTTGGAACCAAGCTCAAACCAATCTGACACCATCCTTGTATTTATTATAAAACATTTTAAATATATGATCAATAGTCAAGTGTTTTTATTAAAATCACATGTTACATCAATAATCTAAATGTATTTTTTTCGAAGATGGTTATCAAAAAAGGACCACATGGACCAAGGGTAGGGTCTCTTACAAATGGGGTTGCTAATTTATGTCCACAATCATACAATGAAAGTTACAACTCTTTCTTGACATCCCCATTGTCTTACAATATTATTATCCAATTCATATAACATCCTTTTAACTACTTCCAATCATTCAAACAACTTCCAATCAACTTCAAACTTTCAAATATAACCCTCTATTATCTCTTTATTGCAACTTTCTCTGTTTCAATTTAAGATCAGATCATTTTCAGATACGATAGAGTAAACTTCTACTTTTTCTGATTAACCTGGATATCCAACCTGTTATGCGAGCATACTAATCCCAGGGTGACCACATGTTTTGCGGGTAGCTCGGAGTCACCGCATTTGAACTTCCATCTAGGGGTGGCAATGGGTCAGGATAGATTGGGTTGGGTTCGGGTTCAACCCATTTATTAAACAGGTTGAAAATCTCAACCCAACCCAACCCATTTAGTTGAGATTTTTCAACCTAATCCAACCTGTTACCTAAATGGGTTGACAGCGGGTTGACCTGTTTATGATTTTCTTAACCCAACCTATTAGATAAATGAGTTGAACCTGGGTTGACCCATTTAATTTTAAAATTTTAAATAAAAAAAGGTCTAGACTATTTAATTTTTTTGAAAAAACACAACCATAAATACAAACAAATTATTCAAAGTTTGAATAAAACACAACCACAACAAATATATTGTTCAAAATAAGTTGGATTAGACTTTGGAGGCGATAATGGGTTGAAAACAGGTCAAAAATTTCAACTCAACCCAACCCATTTATTTAAATGGGTTAGGCGGGTTGATCCCTTTATTTAAATGGGTTGAAAATCTCAACCTAACCTGCTAATTTTGGGTTGGATTCAGGTTTGGTTAGCGGGTTGAGTCATTTTTTGACACCCCTACTTCCATTGCCACAAAGGGGATTTTTATTCCTCATTGGATTTGAACCTGAGACCTTTAGGCACTTTTGATCTTTGAAGTCCGAGCTCAAACCAATCATGCACCACCCATGTGGTTGTAAATTTCTACTTACATCTTACTCTCACGACTCTACTTTCGTAGAGCATATATTGGGTTTGTTTTATTTCATTTAAGTTCGATTCATTACACATATGATATGTACAATCATACATACCCATGGTGTAGTTTATATTTCTACGATGTTGAACCGTTGCTCTCTATATGATCATTTGTATCTTAATATTATGATGTAATTTTCATTTAGTTAAAGAAAACGGTTTTTTATACGAATCTTTGGATATGTACATGTGTAATAACGTATCCTGGCTTTAGATGATATTGGAGATATGGCATATAATAATATTTGACATCAATATCCCTCAATTACTAACAGTAAAAAGTCATTACAACATGTTAACACATGTCGTTTCTTATAAGAAGAATGGTTTGCATTTCCTATGCTTCTAGTTTTCTTCTGTAATTACAAAAACTGGGTTTTATTGTTTGAAACCATATAATTCATCATTGGCATATAACCAGTTATACCAGTTTTAATTGAACTATTACGTCTTATGTTCAATGATTATGATATACTATGTTCTATTATTAAACTGTCAGCATTCAATCAGCCAACAAAAAGCTAATCATGACAATCTGGTTTATATGTAAAGTATCAATTATATGGTAGGAACGTTACAGAAAAGTAATTATAACTTTACTCAATTTAGAAATTTAAACCCTTTTGTAGTTTATTCTTTGTGTCCATACTATATTTTGCTTTTTGGAATGATGCCCACATGATCAAAAACATGGTTCACATAAAATATTGTTCTATTTGAGTCATAACTCGTCTTTCTATCTTTTCGAATAAAAGAAAGGTTTGTTTATATTTTACTGGAATAATAAAATAAAATAAAAATTCAAGAATTACATTCACTGAGCAGTCATTTAGAGGTCTTAGCTGGTGATTCAAACTGATTCCAACAATAACAGATTTTTAGCTTTTTCCATACAAAATTTTGATCCATGTTTAACCCTAGATCTCCATCCATTTTAAGGTCAAATTGCTTCAAGTTTCACCAATGTGTCAAAGGTTTTATTTTGCAAAAGAAATAGATGAGGTACTTGTACAATATGCATGTTGTTGTATCTTCATAATGCAAATCACAACAATGAACCACATGGATGGTGTCTGATTGGTTTAAGCTTGGATTTAGGTCAAAAGTGTCTGGAGATCCTAGATTCAAATCCAAGGAGGAATAAAAATCCTCTTATGGTCACGCATGTTCAAATGCTACGACTCCAAACTACCCACAAAGAAAGTACCACATATTTCTATTTACCCGTTAATAATTATTACAAAATATCGTTAAAATAGAATTTTTATGGGCTCTTTGGCAATTGCTGAATGGTTTGGTGCAAAATGATTAAGTGGTCAGAATGATTAAGAGACTCTCATGATATAGTGCAAAATGAAATATAATTGTTTGGTAATTGTGTACAATGAAATTAGGGCTCTTAATGGTTAAGGGAGATCCATGATACAAAATCATTCAGATGGTTTAAGAACCATTAAGAAGCAAACTTTTTTTGTCAAATAAGATTCACCTCTTAACGATTCTGATGTTGCCTCTTAATGGAACTATTAAGAGGTAAACAAACAACCGCTTAGACTAAATTTGTATAAAAACAGATAAAAATCTCTTGTCCTGAATTTTAACCGTTGATACATATCCACCAATCACATGAATACACATCATTAAAGAGAGAAAAAATATAAACTTAAAATACATAAAAATTAAATATGTTTTAATTTAATTGACAAGACATATATTTTTGAGTTAATGCACATTGTGTCTTGGAATTACGTTTCATACTTTCATGTATGAAATTTACACATCAAATTACAATCTTACCCTTTGTACATATTAATCTAACCCACGAAATAAATTTAGATTTAATAATTTTTTGGGGTTTAAATCGTCAATTACAATTTACAACATCACCCAAATATTAGGTTGGGTTCAAATAAAAATCATTACATACGACACAAAATCTAAATCACAAAAAAAATGAAGAGTGATTTGGCGGAAAAAAGTTCAGTTTCCTTTTTTTCAGAGCCGTAATCTCTTAATCCAGGTAACGTTACGCTTGGTACCTTGTACACCATGCAACAAAACTTGTACGTTGCTTGGTTTTTAGAGTTTTAGAATCTGTAAAAAGGAAACTATCCTTCAAAAACGAGAACCAGAAGCAAAATGCTGCTTCATCTCAAGACACCATCTCTCTTCAAAAAATTCGTGATCACCGGTACCATAACCATATACTTCGCCGGAAAACCAGAGTTATTGCGGTGGGACGTCACCGGAGCATGGCGGTGAGTGACTGGAAAACAACCTCTTCGCATGGAATGGTGAGACCCATTTCGTGATGGAAGCCGAATTCTTCCTCCGACCACCGCAACAGGCGTTGGAATTCGGGATGAGTCAGGAATGAAATCGGAACGATGTATCTGCTCCGTTTGACTCCGACGTAGACCGGAAAGTGGCCTTTCGGGACGTCGTCGTATCCGTGTTTCTTGCCTAAGCTTGAACACCTCTTTAGGATTTGTTTCAGAAGGGCTGCTTGTGAGAGTTTGTTTGATTTCCCCACACCCATTTTTCACCCTTCCTGTTAGTGTGTGTTTCTGTGTGTATTTTGTAGGTGAAATTAGTGTGTGCTTGTGGGTGGTGAAGAGTGGAAGGAGGGGTGGTTAGGGTATTTATAGAGGAAAAAAG